CTCTCAACCTGTCTCTCCCCTCTCTCACCTCTCTCTCACCTGTCTCTCCCCTCTCTCACACCTGTCTCTCCCCTCTCTCACCTGTCTCACCTTTCTCTCACCTGTCTCTCCCCTCTCTCACCTGTCTCTCACCTCTCTCACCTGTCTCTCACCTGTCTCACACCCCTCTCTCACCTGTCTCTCCCCTCTCTCTCACCTGTCTCACCTCTCTCACCTGTCTCACCTCTCTCACCTGTCTCTCCCCTCTCTCACCTGTCTCTCACCTGAAAACATTATGTCGAAATCTATATAGAAAATAAATAAAAAAGCTAAATAAAATGGATGGAGCCAAATATTTTGAAGAAAAAAATGAAATACAAATGTTTTAAATAATATAATAACATATTTTAAATAAAAAAACATATTTAAAATACATTAAAAACTATTAAAAAAAACAGGAGAAAACAGTATTTTTTTAAATAATTAATATAATTATTTAAAAAATGCACAAGTCAGGATAACAACAGGCAGTAAAAAAAAGTAAGAACTATTAAAAATGTTGTGGGTCCATGCTCAGTATTTTGTGTTCCAATGGTTATTTTCCAAACTCAGAAATCAGGTGAAGTTTCTGTCCATAGGTAAATATTGAAAAAGCTTCCTTTACCTCTGAGCTCTGCATCAGATTTCATTATTCAATCCTCTGGCGCCCTCTGGTGTCTGCTGGGGGAACAGCACATTTATAAATAAAGTACAGTAAATAAAAGTCTCTATTTTTCTTTATTTCAGGACGTTTTGGAAAACCTGGAATCTTGTGATCTGGACGATGACGACCTCATGTTGGATGAAGATCTGCCGGAGGATGACTCCCTGCGCAGCGGTACATTTAGATCTAATAAAGTCACATAAAGTACAATTACTATATGGATCCCCAAAAACTATTATTTAAGAGCTGTGATGTACGATACAATCCACCAGAATCTGCTTTATTTTGTATAAATGTGAAATTAGCTAAATAACCCAAAGCAGACAGAGCAATATATTCTCAAATTAGCAGCTAAAATTGTTAGTTTTTTTAAATTTGGGTTCAATTTAGAAACTAAAACAGGTCAATTTAAGTAACAGTTTAGTTTAGAATCTAACAAGCTTAAACATTTCAGTTCATGTTATCCAACAGGTCAATGCAGCCTAAGCACTTTATTTCAGGTAAATTAACAGTTTAAGTTTAGCAGCTAAAACAGTTTAGTTGTAAAAAAACATTTGTTTTTAGTTTAAATAACAATCTTCAGGCAGCTAAACTAATGATCAAATAAGCAGTTAAACAGCAGTTACATAGCCGTTAACCAGCAGTTAAACAGTTTGTTATATTTCAAATCTCCAGGCTTGTAAGCAAACAGATATTTAGCATCTTAAACAATTCGATTCAGGTAAGCTAACAGTTTAGCTTAGCCGTTTAGCTTCGAAAACATTTTAGTTAAGCGGCAGAATGACTTGGTTTTGTTAACTAGCAGTTATATTTAGCTGCTAAAATAATGTAATCCAGGCTATTTTAATGTCAGTTAAGTAGCTTGAATAGTTTGTTTGTCTGTTTGAGATGTACTAACTGTTCAGTTTGTCAGCTTAAAAAAGTAGTTTCAGGTTAACTCACAGTTTAGCTAGCAGCTAAAACTTGTTTCAGTTTAGATGTTAGAAAAGTTCGTTTTATTTGAAATACCAATCTTCAGGCAGCTAAGCTCACATTTAAACACAAACAAATAAAGCATCAGCTAAGCAGTTAAACAGCAGTTGAAACAGTTTGTTAGCTAACAGATATTTAGCATCTTAAACAATTCGAATTGGTTAACATGCTACTAGTTTAGCTTAGCCGTTTTTTAGCTTAGAAAACATTTGAGTCAAGCTGCTGGGTGACTTGGTTTTGTTAGCTAGCAGTTATATTTAGCTGCTACAATAGAGAGTTGTTTAAGGTTAGCTAAACTGTTAGGTTATGAGCTTAAAGAGTGTGTAAATATATATTAGTTAGCTGAAATAGTCTGTCAGGTTAGCTAACAGTTCACTTTAGCAGCTAACTAGTTCATTTTAGTTTAGCTAACAGTTAGCATTTCAAACAGTTAGTTTATCATGAACTGTTGAGTTCATCGTCTGAGATAATGTGGTTTATACTAGTTAACCATTTGGTTTAGCTGCTTTCAGGTTAACTGTTTAGTTTATTATGTAAATCTGTTTCTTGTTATTAGTTAGTAGCTAAATAAAGGTAGTTTAGATTAGCTCACAGTTTATTTTAACAGATATAAAACTATAGTTTAGCTACCAGTTACATTCAGATTAGCTATCGTTTAGTTCACAGTAACAGTTTAGCTTCAGTTTTTAATCTATAATCTGATTATCACATGCTAGAAAGTGATAGCAGGACACCTTCTGCATTATGTTCTATACTAAAAGGATTTAAATACACAGTGCTAATTACAGTGAAATCCACAATGTCAGCCTGTTATTGTGATCACATTTATTGTGTTAATTATATATCTCTTTACTGTAAATAAAGAGTGTGTGATGTGTGTCTCTGTGTGCAGACGGAGAGGGGTTGGCCCACATGGCTCAGTGGAGGATGAGGCAGCTCTGCTGGGGGAACGACAACGAGAGGTCAGAAAACACACTTATTAATCTTTATTCTGGGTTCCTTTAGATGAAATCCAGCTGATTTGGATTTAGAGAAGTAACAACACAGCTCAAAAATACTCTAATGCCTTCCAGAGATTGCCTGGACTGTGTTTAAGGGACATAAAGTGCCCCAGTGACGCGACATAAAACCCTGAAGTAAACTCCTTCCGGATCCCTTGACAAAAAAACACTTTCTCCATAGGATTTAGGAAAATAGCTGGAAATCAGGTCTGTGGTTGAGACACATTTAAGAGACAGATCACATTTTGTTCAGTCGGATAATCTCCACATGTCTTCGAGCTATTTTTCAAAATCCTATGGAGAAATTTCTTTTTTGTCGAGGGAACCGGAAGTGGTAAAATGCTAACTTACTTCCGGGTTTTAGGACGCGTCACTGTGGCACTCTATGGTAGTATACCATCAATCCAAACTATTTCATATATACATTTGTAGTCATTGTTGTCTAATAATTGGTTGTCTTCTCCGCCTGTTTTGTGCTTTTTGTTGTTGTATTTTGTTGTGTAATTATTGTAAGCAGTTTCTTTAGTTATTGGTAGTTTCCTGGCCCATCCTGACACATTCCTTATTGTTCATTATATGGATTGTATCTGTGTGGTCAAATAAAATGGGAAACAAAGACTGTAAAATTATGTCAAAGGTACACAGCTCAAATGTTTGGCTTTTCGTACATTGTAGGTCATGGAGCAACAGTGCAGTAAGAGAGAGGAATAAACTAAATGTTTAGTTTCTGTTAGTGTTAATAGAAGTCATGCTAACAAACGTTTCCATTGACCTGCAGTGATCTGGAGAGCTACAAGCTAACGGAGGACCCGGGGAACAAGAGGACAGACGGAGACCTCATCCTGGACTTTTCTTCCTCAAGGTGACTCAAAACATATTTAGCATCAATCTGCACTGAAACCACAGCTCACTGTTCCAGATATTAGTATTTATTTAAAGCCAACTGTCGTGTGTTTTCACCAGATTTAATAATAATTTTCTTTATAGATTATTTCCTGGTAGTTTTTCACTGGAAGTCAATCCTCTTTATTTATTGATTGAGTTTTTAAAAGGATTTTTCTCGGTTCCAATTAACATTACATCCTCTCCTCCCATGTAGAAATATGTCGTGGTGTATTCGGATCATTGTAGGTAAAAACAGATAATTTCTGGGGTAATATTTGGTAACAAATACCAGAACTTCAGAGATTTAAAATAGTAAAGTTTACAAGAAAATAACCGGATTATTCTGTGATTTTATAAAATCATACATTTGCAAGAAACATTTCAAGTACTCTGAACACATGTCCCAAAATAAACCCTTTCTCTCAAATAATCAATCTTGTAATTTACCTGTTTTATATTAAATAATATATTTAACAATATACATATTTCTTCTTGTTAATTTAAAAGTCTTCCTTTTTAAATCAACCACATTTATTCTCGCAATGTGGGTCAAAGCTTCTGTCATGAATTTAAAA